GCTCTTCCCCGTTTCCACTTTCCAAGCTCTCTTAGATCATGTTGTTGAGTTGCCTGAAGGGAGATCTTTAATAAACCCTTGTGTGCATATCGGTCAGATTAGTTCCTTGAACTTCCAAAACTTACTAGATAGAGCCTTTTTTTTTTCAAAATTAAAAATTAAAAATTAAAAATAAAAAGAGTTATCGTGCTCCACCATACTCGAGCACGCACAATCATATAACTTTGAGTTTACAGCTTTCTGGTTTTACGCTTGGACGACGAAACTATTTGTATTACAATAGGCGTCGTAGGCATTACCATGTCTGCCCACCATGTTGGTAACTTGCATCCTTTGCCAACTATCTGGGAATCTTGGCACTAAGGGCACTCAGGACTCGGGCAATGCCAGGATATTCTGACCCCTCAGCAATGCTCAAAGAGGAAAGATCAGCAAGAATACAGCCTTTAATAAGGGAATAACAAACACAGGGCACCGAACAGGAAGATTTAGCTATCAAAAACGTGAGTTAGTCAAAATGGGGGAGCAGAAAATGGAACCTTAGTAATCACTATTCCCTGCCTATTGGTGTTTATCGCGGGTGATGCCTCCACCCATCACGGATATGCGGTACCTGGAGGCAATGGAGCTAAACGCAACCCTAAGGAAGGGCGAAAGATGAGTGAATGAGTGGCCAGATGTGGAGAGGGGGGGATGAAGCAAAGGAAATTGCAGTGGTAACTTCTGGGCAAGCAGATTTTATTAATAGGGTTAGTGGGGAGAAGGTATAGAGAGGGGAACACGAGAAGAAGCGGAAAATTGAATGTACAGTACTGTATCATACCGGTAGTTTCGTCATGCTCCGAAATAAATCCAACTGTAACTGTACTCTCTCAACCCAAAGCCAACAAACACAAGCCACTCACAAGCGACATTCGCCGCAATAAGTGTTATTATGAGCGGTGGATTGAGGGAGGACGGATGGATGAGAGGAGTTGAGAACGAAAGTTTGACAGTGAAGAATAGTGAAGTCAAGGAGGAATAAAATGTATATTGCTGAGGACTCGTATCCAACTTGCTTATCAACTAACTAGAGGGTTACAGAGAGTTTATATAGAAAATAGAGAGACCTTCCCGGAAGGCCAATACTCCGAATATCCGTCCTATGATGTGCCCGGCACCTGGTGTTCTGGTACCCATTAGGCCTATCCTTCCGATAACTCTTCGTATTCGCTTAACCCCTGTGAGTGACCGGCCATGAATCCGAATACGCATATATAGTATACAGCCAGGTATACCCCTTCCTCCTTAACAATTTATAATGAGTGACAAATGAACTAACTATCTAACGAGTGGTGAAAAATAGGAAAGGTACAACAGTACAATGGTATGGAGTAATCGCCGGTGACTTTCAACAATAAGTTAAAGTATTTATTCTGTGTGTTTCCTTAACAAAAGTGTTTTGCCTGGATTCGAACCTAGAATTACTAGTGTGTCAAACTGATGTACTACTGACTACCCCACCGAACCTGATGACGCTTTTTTAAGCACAATACGAATGTTAGTGGAGTGAAAATCTTTCTCTCCATGGAGGAAAGAGAGGAACGGAGAGAAGAGAACAGTTAGCTGTTTGTTCCTGGCTGTTTTCCGTGTAGTGATAGAAAAGGGAAAGGGGAGGGAAAGAGACGGCATGTTTTTCTATTGTTATTGACTTATAGTACGCCTGTCCACGACATTTCGCGGTGCGGGAATCGGCTTGGTCTACGCTGATCCAATAGCGAGATTTGAGTTAAACTTGTGGCTACCGTTCGTGAAGAGGTCTAGCGAGAGAGGCCGGAAGGGATTGCAACTTGGGATCGGGATTAGACACTTTCAGCAGATCCCTGTTTTCACTTCGAATTCGAGTTCGAAAAATGATAGACATGTCTAGGAAGGCTCTAAACATTGCCAAGTACTGCTCTACCGTTTTTTTTTATAGATTAGTTTCGTACCAAGACTGATGCGATCATCAAGAAATCATAGCATAGAATTCCCACACCAAGTATCATAACCCTAAGCTAACTCAATTTATGGCTAGTGTCGTTTAAGAACCTGTTCAGGCATCCATGCAGTTATGCCTATCATTTTTCGAACCCGAATTCGAACTCAAAACAGGGATCTGCTGAAAGTGTCTATTGACTAGCTAGTTGGAGGCCTTGTATATAAACCAGCGTCGCAACCGTTTTGTTTGTTGCTACTTTACGCACTTATCAATTGTGGTGGCTGAGAATTCCTTTCACTCTCTTCATCTTCTCGGTCCTATTATCCGTTGGGTCCTCATGTTACCATTTTTTTCATAGAGCTATCATTAGAATTGAATCAAAGGTTTGCAGGGATTCTTCCATCATGCTTGAGTTCTGTACTGGGACTGTTGCACGGTAATTATCAGTTGAGTGGCAATGATCCTTTTGGGAGGCTTTTTTGTGCCCGGTTTTTGGAAGCGATGAGCTGTCGCACTCGCCTGGGTACTGGGGTGAGAACACCAATTGTGGCACTTACCTGAGGAACCCGATTGTCCCTTTGGCCTAAATCCGACCGTTCCATGCTGGGTCTCTTTACCTTCTTTTTGTAATTCTCCTAACTTGCTAAATAGTTCCTCGTTGCACTTTGGTCATTGGTGGAAAAAATTCAGAGGGTCTATTTTTTTTCATTTCTTTTTTTTCTGAGCCAAATCACCCTCTCACTAATATCGGAAGATTTTCTATATACCGATCATGGGCGACTATGTTATATCCCAGTCCAGCCCTGTTCTGCAAAATGGTTGAATTTAATGGATTTTCAAACGTGAAACGTGCGACTGTCCTCAACTGAGCTGCCTTTAATTCCCTCTCGATCACCTCGGGGTCATGCTTAGTGATGACGCTATCCAAGTAGGAAAAATATTACCAGTGGAATTGGAATCAATAGTCGTTATGATGGTCTTGTCCGGATCACCTGGAGATTTGAAGCGGAACTTGTGGGATACCAAGCACGCTCACATCTGAAATGGGATACTGGGGCTATTTCTTGAAAGCCCAAACCAACCACGGGGTTGACTGAGTGCGCCGGGCGCCGACCTTTATTGCGGAAGGACATGAGTGATCTTATCACCGGCTTACCACCAGCTCAAAAGGATGACCCTACCAATCGCTGCATCCTCATCCGTGCACCCTGCGGCGATAACTCCGGACAGACCTCTAAGCAAATACTCGACGCTTCTGCTTATTCCGGGTCTGGCTTTCCACTGTGGAAATTAAGTTTGTTAACCCCCGCTCAGTGGTAATCGCGGTGTCAGCCTCGGGGTGGCTGGCCTGCAGATCGTCTTCCTAACAAGTAGAGATCAGTGTCTTGTCAGAAACCCTCAACCTCCTCTTACTCCTTCAAGAAAGACAGAGTTCGAAGATGTAGATCACCGAATGAAGAACAATATAACGACACTCACCGCTGAAGTTGTGGTTATTAGTAGTAGCAGGATGGATAGTACTTAGTAGATGCGCCACTGGAAAAGGAGTTCATCGGTGAGTAGGGTCAGCCTTATCGTCGGGGTTTGTATCTGCTGGGCTGAGTGCGTGTTTTGTGGTTCGAAGACTACCACGGTTGATCGCCAGACAAGGTGGTGTTTTGCCCACTTCCGAGCATTAACCCTCCGAGAATCTGAAGATGGAAAGGGAGATAAACCTAACTATACAGCTCTGCTAAAAGTGTAGAATTAAGTTTGTCAATGAATTGTGCCGTCTTCTCCATTTGGCGCTTTTCATCCATGACGAAGGCGTCGCGATCACCTCGAAGTCACGGTCAGTGATGTCGTGAGAATAGAGGTAGGAGCAAAGGATCAAGGGAGTGTTGGGAACAAGAGGATCCAAGTTTAAATTCAGGTTGAGGAATATTCGTAGGCATCGCCGATAATAGCGGAGAGGATATGACCGCGGGATCAGAGTTGTCAATAGTCTCGTAGGTGATGGGTAATTTTCAGGAAACCGCAGTAACCTCTGATGAGCGATTGTGTGTATGCCGCTTCTTGTTTTTTTGTGCCAACTAGTACGATTCCTCGCCTAAGTGCCAGGGTAGGGTAACCCTATCACCTCTAAACCTAATAAAAAATACTATAAGTTTTCATTCAGCATGATGATGATCGCAAAATAAAATAAAACATAGTTAGAGACAGAAAAAAAAAAGTCGGATCAAAACTATCTAGGTGGTCTAATGCCTAGAAAGGGTAAACTATCGATTAGTAAAGCCGTTGGGGCACCCTACTACCGCCAAAACTGAGGAAACTCGGTAGACCTGGACCAGGATATCTTCACTCCCGTCCAGTAAGATATCGTATCGCTTAAGATTTTGGCGTAAAGGATAGATTGTCATTAGCGAGTACTCGCTGGTACAAGCCGGCCAATGAGAAACACCCACTGAGGATGAATTCTCCTCCTCCACTAGGCCGGATTTAACACATCTTAGTCCGGGCTTAGCATTTTTCCGCAGTTTTAGCGGGCAGCTATCAGCATGCGAATGTGAATCCATCGCAAGTTGATTCGTAGCTCGGAGAAAATTTTTTTACGCCGTCCTCCAATAAGAAACTATGCTACTCTAGATTGCTTGATTATATTTTCCGTAAAAGGCGTCTGGATACTTCGCATTTATTGGTATGATACCTGTCTTGGCACAAGAGAGTTCAGAGACTTTTCAAGTATGTATCCAATGCTCGCCAAACATTTGGCTCATGGAGGTATTTGTGGCGAGGACGTGCGAGCACAATGAGTGGACTAAAGAGACACAATTATTTTCGAGGTTAAGTATCAACGTGGAATCTTCTATCCTATTACCTGGTTTTTTTCGCCTGCCACCCTCTCTCCCTCCCTCGTCTGTCTGTTCAATTATGACAGGGAAAATAGCTGGGGACGCATAGCCAACCGTTACCTTCTCACACTCTCTTCCTCTCTTTCCTCCATGAAGAGAAACACTTTCACTCTACTTACATTCGTATCATGCTTCAAAATGCGTCATTTCGTTCAGTGGGGTAGTCGGTAGTACATCAGTTTAACACACTGATGATCCTAGGTTCGAATCTAGGTAAAATCCTTTTTTAAGGAAACCTAAAAAAACATTTTCTAACTTATTGCGGCGAATGTCTCTTGTGAGTGGCTTTTTGACGTTGGCTTTGAGTTGAGAGGGTACAGTACGGTAGGATTTCTTTCGGAACATGGCGAAACTACCAGTATGATATAGTACAGTAAATTCCATTTAGCTCTTCTTCTCATGTCCCCCTCTCCACACCTTCTCCCCAATAACCCTCTTAATAAAATCCTCTGGCCCAGAAATAGCAACAGTAGCTTCCTTTGCTTCAAACCCCCTCTTCACATCCTGCAACTCTTTCACCGATATTTCGCCCTTCCTCAACGTGGTGTTTAGCTCCATTGCCTCAAGGGACCGCATGTCCGGGTGGGTGGAGGCATCACCCTCGGGGCGATAGAGACTAAGAGGCTGAAAATAGTGATCAGAAACGTCCCCTTTTTTTTGCTAACTCTCGTTTTGACAGCTAAATCCTCCTTTTCGGTGGACTGTGTTACCTCCTTATTAAAGGCTGTATACTTGGCGATCTTGCCTCTTTGAGCATGCTAACATTCTCGCATAGTTGGCGAAGGGTCCCAGTTACCCACATGATGGGCGGATATGGTAATGTCTACGCCTATTGTAATACAAGTAGTTCCACCGCCCAAGTAAGCGTAAAACAGTGAAGCTGTACTCTCTAAGTTATATGATTCTGCACTCGAGTACTATAGAGTAACGTAGCTCATCCAAATTTTCTCTTTTTTTTTTTTTTTTTTTCAAAAATGGCTCAATCTAGTAAGTTTTAGAAGCTCAAGGAACATATCCGACCAATATGTACAACTAGCGGGTGGAAGATCTTGGCACCCCCTCGTAAATTGTCGTGAAATTGATCATGATCGCAACAACAAGTAAGGCCATAACCTACCATGCCACCGTCATGTCCTCCTAAAAAGTACCTAAGTCCAGACGAGAGGTTCCGTATTATTAGTTTACGGATACAACAGAAGTCCTGGGAAGAGATTGTCCGTGAAACAGGGGAAAAAAAAAGCACTATTCGAAACATCGTTACCCACTTCCTCAAGCATGGTACCTACCATGACCTCCCCAAACCCGGCCGGAGGAGAAAATTGGATGACCGTGTCCTGAGGCGACTAGAACGTGCTGTTCTAAAAAACCCTGCAGCCACGATCCAGGATCTTCCACGAGAGGCGACATTGGACTCTGGAGAAAATGCAGTAAAGAGGGCACTAAGGGAGTTAAAGTTTGGGGTTTTCCGGGTAAAGAGGAAGTTTTGGTTGAGCAAGGAGGCTATGATGAAGAGGAGGAGATGGTGTTTAAAGAAGAGGAAGTGGACGGAAGAAGATTGGAGGAAGATCATCTGGTGTGATGAGGTTCGAATCGAAGTTGGTTTAAGGTCAGGACCGTTGCGTGTACGCCGCCGTCGTGGAACTTCTCTTTGGCCCCGATATATCCAGCCAACATTTCACTCCGGACGATTTGGTATACGCTTTTGGGCTGCTTATTCCTATGGAAGTCGTACCCCGCTCATATTCCTTCGTCGCCGAAGGCCTGAGGAGTATGAAAGAGAGAGAGATCGAGGTGGACTAAATGCTACTCAATATTGGAATGAGGTTCTAATACCCTATCTTATTCCATATTGGGAGAGGCTTCAGGGAGGACCTCGAGGGCTGCACTTTATGCAGGATGGTGCTGGACCGCATCGAGCAAAGAAAATCGCCCACTTTCTTGCTCAAAGTAGGATACAGATATTATCCTGGCCCGCCTCGTCGCCTGATCTCAATCCCATTGAGAATGCCTGGCGTATGCTCAAGCAAAGACTACGGAAGCGATTCAGGCAACGATACTCTCGACCCCAAACCGAAGAGGAGCTCAGGCAAGCAGCACAGGACGAGTGGGATCTAATTCCACAGAGGATACTTGATCGCTGGGTTGACTCAATACCGGAGAGAATTAGGGAGGTTTTGCATGCAAATGGAGGACATACAAAGTGGTGATGGAATCACTACCTTTTCTTCTTTCATTATACATATCTCTTGAAATTTTATTTTCTCTCCGTTTTTGTGTTCACGATATTTCATTCGTATTGTGTTGTCTTCACAGTGGGGGGGTGCCAAGACTTTCCACCCGGTAGTTTGTACTGTACAGAGAGGTTTATTAACGGATGGAAAATATGAGATCCCTGTTCGGACAACTTGACAATAGGATATAAGAAATCTTCGAAAGTGGCAACGGGAAACAACCCCCAAATGAGCCTGGAAGATAAAAACCAAAACCGTCTCCGCTCCTGTTCAGCACATATATTATGAGAGGTATAAGAAGGGGGGTGGGGAAAGGTGAAAACAAGGCAGAACTCCACCAATTCACGGAAGGCAAACGGACAAATACTAGTAAGTCCCATGCTGAGACTAAGAAAGAAAGCAAAAGAAGAAAAAAGTGATTAAATAGAGGAGGAGGTGGTGGAACAGGAGGATGAGGAAATCAAGGAAACAAGAAGCTCCCCTGTAACACAAAGAGGGACAAGAGATGTTTCTGCCCGTGGGGGCGCATTGGTGCAGTTTGAGGCAGAACCAGGACGACTGTGGTCGAAAGAGCTGCAAGAACCAGGAATTACTCCGGGTATAGCGCAATATGGTCGGAAAATTATTCTCCGCCCACATTTTTCATAGTAAAAAAAACCTGTGGAATCCGGCACCCCCTCTGCTAGAACCTTGCCTGAGGTAACTTTTATTTTAGTCTTGAGAGTCGTGAGCCAATGATTGATCTTAGAAGTCTTCAAAAGCGAGGGTTATTGAGGAGTTCCGCTAAACACTACAAGGACTTCTAGATGACTGAGATGTTTAGAATGTAAGGGGGTGTAAGGCGATTTATAGACCTCTTTCATAACAGCTGAAAGCGGGTAATTTATGCTTAGACTCAAGAAGATTGTATAGGCAAGAGGTGCTAGGTATCATCATTCCTAGTGGAGACACCGGGAAGGTAAGCGTATTACAGCTGTACATGATCTAGATGTCGAATAAAATATGAACCCCAGTCAGCCTTTCTCCCCTTCAGGATGCCTGATTCTCGAAATGCTTCTAATAGGGGAAATACCCCTGGCGAAATTCTTGAATAAAGTTTCCAGTCACGAGCCTTGCATCGTCCGGAGTTGGCATCAGATCCGGGGTGATAATGACTTCAAGACAAGCAAACGTGGTCATATGTTCTATCTCATTAGCTGTGAGAATAAATGTGGTTTAATTCACGTCTAAGGAGAACTTTTTATTAAATGTTGCGACCGTCCTAATTCGCCCCAACTAGGATTTCCCCCTATTTCCTCCACAATGATGTCCCAAGTCACAAGCCCACAGGCAAACATATTGAGATCACAAACTGCGACAAAGTGGGAGTTGACAAAAATAGCTTATGACCTGGCTTCCATGCTTTAAATATCTTACTCAAATTTGTCTCTTTAGGTGCCCTCAATTTTGTTTAATAAGAGGTGGGTAAATCTGACTTATTTGCCGAACACATTGGGATTGCGCTCGTCAGCAGAATATTGTCCCATCAGGTTGGGCATCTCCTTGGTGATAGGAATCTAAACCTCTAGGCCTTAGTCAATCATTTCAGTAAATTAAAAGGCCTTGCCGTCTCTAGGAGAGCTTTTAGACTCTTCCAAAGTGCAAATATTTTAATAGCTTTTTCCGGAGAGAGGTTGCGCCTATCCGCTCTTCCTATGATTCCCCCAAGCTAATTCGAAAATATGTGTGCTCTAATCACCAAAGGTTAGTGCTCTTACTGGATTCCATGACATCATCGGCCTTCACAGATGCCCTATGTGTGAAGGTTCACTTCCAAGTTCACCACCAAGGGCTATGCTATACCCTATGAAGCAACAGTCACAAAAACCACCCACCAAAATACAACATCTCTCCCTGATGGTTCCTGGGATTAACCGAGTCCAAGCTCAATAACTAAGGTCCCATCTCTCACACCCCGCCAATCAGTTTTGTTTTCCTTCTTTCTGAACTACCCTTCCAACTGCTACGATAATTTTTTTTCGACGTTTTTCATCCATTCCTAAAGGTATTTAAATTACATCAGTCAGTTTAATTTCCTTACTTTTTTTTTTCTACTCACCTTCTTTTCCACCTAGCTCCAATGTTTCTTTATCGCGTTGGTTTGGCCCCTCAGGTTGTCCAAACTCCTAATATCATACCTAGGGTTCTAATGACCACCTAGTATGTTGGTGCTGCAAAGCATAAGAACTTCCATCGTCTTTTGCAAGTAAAGTATAGCTTACAGGCTAACAGTGAGAATATAAATAGCACAACCCAAGATATCTACCAGGAAGCTCGCGAGGCACTCGGTCAACCAGTACTGCACGAGTAGGAGATGGACCTATTCTTGATTGGCCCCACAATTACCCCGCTTCCGAAATGCCCGCAGTATAATCCATCCGTTATTTCTACTTACATCCACTCAGTGCTGGAGGAGTGGAATCGTAAGGATGCTTACGGTATCTTAGCGGCAATCTCAGAAGAGGAAGGCTCAGTCCCGACTTTGATCTTTGGATTGCCGCCACCAGCCATCACCGACTATGTTTTCAAGCAAACACCATATAACCTGCCTGTTTTTTTGAATGATGACTGGATTGTTTACGCCTCACGATTTAACAGCTGTTGGGATATGGAACCAGTACGTGGGGGAGGTCGACTGTGTTTAGATCATATTTCTGTTGGGGCTCAAGGTTCTTAACTCTAAACATTTCATTTAAAGAAGAGGCTAACAGTAGTATAGGGGATTTGGCTACAGCGGGAAGTTTCGGTGGATTTCTAAGAAGCACGGTATCAGTACAAGATGTTTTCGGAATAACAGCCTCTCACTGTGTTCCTGGGGCTCCATTAGCCACGACAATTTGCTCGCCGTCCAGTCTTGAAGTCACAAGCCGTTTTGACCGTATTCTCAAGTGTACAACGCTTTGTCCAGTTAACTCAGTGGACCGCCAGCCAGTGAGACGTGGGAAAGAGGCC